TTTTACAATGAGACACATTATTTGAAGCGTTTATTATTTGAAAAATACGAGAACTGTCGTACAAATACTTATAAAATCACATTTTTCGATAAGTTGAAATATTATCAATCAAAAATAACATTACGAATTCACAAATAATACGATTTTTATGCTACATAAACATACTGCAACGTTTTTAGAATAATGTCAATTTTTTTTTTAGTATAGTATGAGTGTATGAAATGTAGGGAGTTCGTAGTGATAGTGATAAGTGTATCAGATGAGGGATATAGAAGTTTGGGAGACACTGTTTCAATGGTTTTCCGTTAAAGTATATACCCGACTGGCAACTTTATCGTCTACGCCGTCCCTTAAATTTACGACTCGCGCGAAGCATAAACATCCTGCCATTATGCGAGGTCCGCTGGAGTATCCCGCTGGCAAGTATTCAGGCATTGTATTCCCTTATCGAGAGGTATCTAATAAACTATCTAATTTCACACGAACTTGACACTTTTTCTCGCAACGGAATATATACTTGTGCGATATATACTCGCAACTGTCCATTCTATTCTATTTAGAGTTTTGTACGTATTAACTTTTTAACCCTTACAAAATTAAAAAGAAGACAGACAACACTCTTAACCTAACCTAAGAAAAATTAAATTGAGATTTTCATTATTCGACGATAAAGAAAAATAAAGCGTATTTTTATTATTTTACGATTGTTCTATATTGAACATTTCAGGAAGTTCAAGCTTTGTCAAAGTAACTAGAGTAAAAGCCAATGTAGCATTGATGGCGAAGTTCATTCCATGGTTCAAAATTGTCGTCGTTTCGTGAACAAATTGGCAAAGATAACGAGTTCTAACGGCGGTGCGGCGCGTGTGTCGCTTGTTCCGCACCTTTACAACGCGCGACTCGAAAAGGTCTCGCTGAAATCTGATTGCCTCCCGCGTGTTAAAATTGCAATCAGCTGATCTCGCGTCAAAGAACACAATACCGAACACAATCGTTACGAAACCGAATTTCGATAGCTGTGAACCGTGACTCGCGAGCGTTTCTGCCTTTCAACCCCTTCCTTGCTTTCTCTTCTTCTCCTTTACCTGCAACCATGACTCCCCAGTACCCGTTTTTAATGTCAATTTTAACCAAATTTACATTTGCACACAACCCAATGATTCTTCTGTGTAAAATGATTTATGAAAAAATACTTACCTATGAATATTTCGATTGAAGTTTCGTTTAAGGTTAACGGATATTTCACATTAAAAAAATACTTTTGAAATAAAAATAAAGATTAGAATATTATTACAATATAGCATGAAATACATATCCTGGCTGAAAAACAAATAATATCTAAAATAAAACGAAAATTATACGATTCAACCTAACCTAACCTTTAGGCAGTGCGCGACATTTTAAAAGATCGTGAAAATCACCCTTTTAGTTTTGTTGATGAAAATCAAACTAACCACTTGATTGAAATATTACGGTAACCAGAACGAATTTAATATTTAATTAACGAAGAATAGGTAACATATTCAAGGCTGCTGAAGAAATAGTAAAGCTTTCAAAAGGCACGAACCAATGAAGCATTAACCAACAAACGGTTCACGACGAGGTTCGATGTATACTTGAGAGTAACCGAGGCTAATTTGATCTTTGTAGGATGCGAATAAAATTTACAGTGCAGTATAGAGCGAGGTGTGTACGTGTATTAGCCGGATCGTGGTCGTAAAGAAAAAGCCCGGTCTGTCGGAGCACATGTTGCCTGCTATATGTGATTCGACCTCGCGCTCGCTCGATACCTACTCTGGTCTTATGCAAATCGGACGAGCACTACGTGCCGTGGAATGATGACAGCTAGCTAAGGTCACCCTGGAGGAAGGTTAGAGTACAGGATCGGATTCACCCCTTTCATTTAACCATTAGAATTAATTCTCTTCAATTTTGATTATGCAAACTTGAAATATTTGAATAAATTTTTGTTACGGATCAAAAATAAATAATTATTTATTAGTAACCAAACAAATTTTTCGTCAATAAAATTTGCATCATCGATAATGATCGGTGGGACTAAAAAAATTTTAATTATTTATAGTGAATAATTGTTATACTGCAATTTTTATTCTACTAGCATTGTAACAGTTACGGTCTCTGATTTGTGTACGTAGTCTAATAAATGTTAAAACCCAGATAGCAGACAGACGTTTTGTGAACGTCTTAAAGACGTCAAGTAAAAGCCTAAAGATGTCCAAAAGACGTCTGAATGACGTCCAGTATTACAAATCAAGATGTTTTTGAAACGTGGCGCTGCGAATCACTGTGCGCTGGCTTTATAAACATTTGAAGAACGTCTTAGACATCATTTTTATACGTTATCAGAACGTTCAGATTCGTATGTCTTCAAGACATCTAGATCAGGTTGTAAGACGTTCAAAACAAAAATGGACGTAAAATGGACATGTCTAAAACATCGTGTGTTATCTGGGATGTTTGTTGGTCAGTCAATAATTTGGCTAAAAAGCAACAACGTGCTTGAAAGTAAGACTACAATTGCTATAGCCTATCGTGAAACCTATAATCACTCTTATTCCCTTGTTGCTTTCTTTCTTGAACCATTACTCTGACAATTATGTTAACATCTAAAGAACACATTTTTTTAGGTTATCCATGTATTCTCAAAGAGAATTAATTATTCCCTTAACCTAAAAAACGAATTATCATCTGGAAATTCCCAAAAGTTTTTATTCACATCACTTAACCATCTCGAGACTTGAAACTTACTTTTTTCTCAATCGAATCTGAGTTTCAGAAGAGTACATGAAGTTTTGAGCACTTAACCTAATAATACATTGTATATAGGCATTTACATACATGGTTATGACGAATAAAGAGCAAGACTGTATAGTGCACCTATGGTTGGAAAAGTCGTTCAAGAAAAAAGTGATAATAAAACAATGTCTATTTTCGTTTGTTTTCCTATTATCGGACTCCCCCCAATCTAACGAATGATGCGATTCGACATCGACGATACTTAAAGGTAACTCCTTCCGTGACATTAAAAAGGCACTCCCAGGCTCTTGTTGCATCGGTCCCTTTGCTCGCTGGTTTCACACGCCACGTCGGATGTAGAAACAGTACCGGCAACGTCATTCCTTTTATGTAGTAGACCTAGCCACGGTATCGGGAACAGATCTTCCTGTCACCTGTGGAGCACAGTGAAACCGAAACGGCAGGCTCCACAACACAACTTGAAAATTGGGTACTTCTTAGAATTTTTCTCTAGCAAAATGTCAAATAAAATTGGACAACTTTTATCTATTGTCATACCTATAATATATTCCTAATTGCGTCATTTATGAAACCATGTAAATTAAAAAAAGAATACAGATTACCAAACATTCTGTGAAAATTTCAAATCTCTTAGCAGATCTAAAAGTACGAAATTGAAATTTGCACAACTTTCACAATTTTTAAAATTTCGTGGAAAATCTTTCAGAATCTTATTCTACACATATAAAAGTATACGCTAATGGAAAATAGTTTACAATTTTATTGGCATCAAAATATGATACTTCTTTCAGTTTCAAATACGAAATAAGTTTATAAGGTTTTAAAATTTTAATTGAATGAGCGCCATCACCGGTCATCATAAGAACTCTGTATCATAATCTTTCCATGGTAATAGGATAACAAATATTTTTTCATTTTTTAATATTAAATCTACAATAGTTTTGTTATATAATATTCAAACAGAATTTTTTTTCATATTTTTGTATCGTAATTTATGTCTATAGTTTTTCATTAAAAATTAATCGATATGTTCGTGCACAGACGACGTACAAGATAGACCTACCATCTTATGTCCGGGGCTTCAGGGCCGAGAAGACCCTTACCATTTTCGTGTCGCTACCAACGTTACCGATTCAGCATAGAATAAGATTATAACATTAATAGTGGTTGGAATTAGAATTAAATGTAACTATGAAATTTTAGAAATAAGAAAGTAATGTAATTGTTAATTAGTAGATGATTCATCACATGCGCGTGTTATACTGCTACCAAAAGATCATGATCAGTTCTATCCAAGCAATCCAATATATGAGCCGTTTAATGTAACAGTGGTGTAAGTCAATTTTTTGCCTTTTTGAGTTAACACCACATTTCGAAAGGTTAACCTTCTTTTGTGTTTTGTGCAGAAATGATGTAAGGATATCTTTATTAGTTTCTCGGTGGATGGAAAAATAAGTAAAAACCACCCACTCGAATGGTATGGACGCTATATGCAGAAAATTTGAGCGATGAATAAGAATTTAACGTTATCGCCATCCACAAAATTTCTGTGTTATGCTCATTATTATTTTTTGATTTAAATTCATGACAATGTAAACCATATTTTATACATTTCATTTATTTTTTTTTTAAATAATGTGTTTGGTAATTAATAAAGCAGTAGAAACATAATGTCTACCTCAACAAACAGATCCCTTTTTCATTAAATCTAATAATAATCTTCCTGGTTTTCACGAAAATGATGTAAGTCAGAAGAATATTGAATAAAATGATTATATATACACTTGATTTTCGCGGCAAAATGGCATTGTTAGCTTAGGATATAACTATACAATGGCTTATATAAAAGAGATATAATATTCTTTCATATTATTAAATTTTACAGAACTTTTACTTTATCTCTCATTATCCAGAAACCGACTTTTTTGACTTGCACCACTTTCACATTAAACGGTTCATATGTATGCATCTTTATATGCAAATTTAATAAAAGAGAATTTTATACATCTGTTGACTATACCATCTTTGATGGTTGAACTGTATGTCGTTCCTAAACTCACCACTTTAACATAACAAGCTTGAGCATAATAAAAACTCTAATTTTTTACACGATCAGTATTTCAGAACGTTGGACATAACAATACATTAGGTGCAAAGTCTATCCTCTACCTCGTCTGTGACTGTACCTTATATTTCTCATCCATAAACATTTGTACCACAAAAGGCGACCCTGGCGTCACTAGTTGCCACTGAAACTAGAATTTGAAATAATTTCACAGTCTCACGTGGAAGAGTGTAACGTTCGATAATTGGAACATGTCAAAAAAATTCAAGGGACATAACGCGTTCTATTTCTTTATGCTTGATTGGGGAAAACAAACTAAATGCCAAAAAAGTTTAAAGGAGATCGCAGCTGATCCCGAATGCAGCAAAACATGGAAGGTTCGATTTTAATTAATTTAAACAATTTATTAAACACTCTAATCAATATGCCAGTGTGTTTTTGTTTGAAGGACACTTTTGACTTAAATATAAATACTTACTTAACCTCTTGACTTCACTGAATTTTAGAAAAACGTGCAAAAATTACCACCTTTTTTTATTTTATTATATAAATGTTTATAATCTTGGATGAAACACAATTTTTCGTAAAAAGCTTTTATTTTTGTACATATAATAAGAAATTATACATGTTAAATCCAGCTACGTAATATTACGTTTGCACAAGAAAAATAAAAAAAAAACACGAAAATTCCAGCTACGTAATATTACGTTCGTACATGGTATAAAAAAATGAAAAAGAAAAATAAGAAAATTGTAATAAAGCAACGCAATAAATAATTAATGTAAAACATAAACTGAATTTCAAAAACTGGTTGTCATAAAAGTTACGTTTTTATCGAACGTAAGATTACAGAGATGGAATTTTGAGACTGCATGCAAGAAACACAATATTACAGAGGTGGCTGTTAAGGGTTTAAGAAAACTCATAGAGGTTATCTTAGCTGTATGGTTATTGCTGTTTTTGGGTATAAAATATCAACTATTAATAAATTGAACTTCATTTCTAATCAATTTATTGATAATAATAATAAGATTTTTTATAAGAATTAAATTGTCGTACATTATTCTGTGTTTATGATAGGACTTGTCACCTCAGCAGAGGGGATATTATGAGAGTAAAGCAAAAGATAGTAAGGTGGAAAGCCAAGGAACGATGGGTAAAAAAACACTAATGGGTGAAAGTATAAAAGATAATGAAGAAATTGAGAAAAGAGAGATAGAATTTCAAGAAAAAATGCATCATTATCTAAATTCTATAGTTGCTATGGGTATGAAACATAAGAGTAAGTATTAGATGGTAACAAATGAATATTAAATACAAATGTTGTAAAATATGTTTTCAAAAAGTGCCAACTTGTTAATTAATTACTTTATTTCTTGTTACAGACTTGTCTAAAATAAAATTCATGTTAATACATGTGAATTGGTTTTACAGAAGAGAAGTAGGAATTAATAAATATGAATTTTGCCCTGCAGAATTTGCAATAGCAGAATTTAGCTTAGAAGATGGCATTCAAAACGTGTATCATGAAATACTCAATATGAAAATACCATTAGGATGGAGAAGAGATGCATTGGAAACCAGTCAGCAAACACACCAAATACCTATAGAACTTGCAGAAGGCCAAAGCGATTTTTCGCTGATGTATGATAAGTTGATCCAGTTTTTAGAACGTAACAAGACTGGAACTGAGTTTCCACCCATCTTTACAACCAAAGATGTAACTCTTGCTGTAAAATCACTCCTGTTAAAAATGACTGATGCTGCCAGTAAATATAAAGATTAATATAACATAATGATATAAAAATTAAATATAAAACTGTTTCTGATACATAATTATATTTTAGATGAGTGTCCAAATTTTTCAATATATTCATTAGAGGCTTTGTTTGGAACATTGAGAAATGCTGCTGCACAAAATGTAAAGGATTGCAATATACCGCTTGTTGTTGCTGAAGTTGAATTTAGAAAGGACATTTTCTTTTCGATATGTGGTCTTGAATGTGAGGTAAATAGTAAAGGGTGTTTTTCACAAATTTCACTAGGTAACATTTTTAATATTAATTTTCTCTATTTCTGTCCAGTTCCACAAAATTATGGATGGCACATCACAATACTGCAGTCAGTCGATAGTAAAACGGTGGGGTTACACAATATGCGATTATTGTTGTGAATTTCTGGATATAAAGATGATTGAGGGTATACATTGTCCAATTTCGCAACCACTATCCTTTAATCAAAGCATTATTGACAAAGACACAGCTAATATTAATATACAACTAAAGCAATTAAACATCGGTGATAAGAAAAATATTTTGAAACTTAATGGAGTAAGTAATACGATAAATTAAGCATTTTCATGACACTACTGTGACAAATATCAAATATTTTCAAAATAATCAGGTGTCTGAGGACCACAGAAGAAAAGTGTCTGAACGAAGTTACAAAGATGATCAGCGGCGACGTAACGAATCCAAACCTATACAAATAATCGATTACAATACATTAAACGCAACACGATCATCGAGCAACCCAATTGTACACTTATACTACTGAACTTAATCAGAAAATAATTTGAAAATAATTCACTTATTTCATTTTCAGCTAAACATTCCATCACGACCTTTGCGCTTACCAAAAACTAAACGTACATATACATTTATATTAATTATTAGTCACATCATTTTTATTTAATACGCATTAACATATATATTTTGTACGTCGTAGCACACGCTTACGAAGATATGGAGGAAAACAATGACTTGCTTAACGACACCAATTTTCCACCACTTGGTAAGTGATCAGCAACTCAATAACAATTAAAAAAAAAAATAATTCGGAATTATTATTATTTGTACATTTTGAAAATTGAAAGAAAAATGATACGCTGTTTTAATATTTAAATACTCAAATATTTACTATAAGGCTTACACAGACTGGGATACAATCGTTGGAAACATTATATCTCGACAATAGCCGAGGTGTATCTTGACGTCTAAGGTAATATCGCCAAGCGATTGTAAACTGATTTCTTGCGTTGGCCAACTATTAGGTGGTATAACATAAAACAAAATGTATCTGTCGCATGTGTTCCACTCGGAACGGAAAATACAGGGGACAGTCAGTCGACTGTCGAAATACAATGTTTTCAGCAACTGTATCCAAATTTATACGAATTATCACCACTAAATGTCTTTTTATGTTTACTCCTTTCTCTTTGGATATATTGAGAGAGTCGAAAATGTTATATATGAAGGAAGCAATTTCAAAAGAATTGGTTTTTGGTCTTATAGTTAAGGTCAAAGTTATTAGCTTAATATATGATACATTTCCTATTGGGAAATCAGAATGGTTTATAATTGATTTTCCGACTCATATCGGTAGTTTACTAACAAATTTTTGAGGTAATCCCCGAGCTCCAGTGATCGTGGGCCGTGGGGCCGAGCTCTCTCAATGATATTGTTTTAACATAATGACCATCGCTCGAACTCCTCACCAATATCGTTGTAACAGTGAAAATTGCTTAAGTCTCTTAGATCTTCACCAATATAAATTTTTCTACGATAATTTAGATCAGAGTTGCGTAACTTCTTGCTCACGAGCAAATTTCTCCTCCCGTGGTATCCCTACCACAACTCCAGCGATAGTTTTTTGGTACAAAATGACTGGTCGAACACGCAGAATGTGTAACATGAACAAAAGGCAGTCGCTGGAGTGTGGTGGGAAGACTCCTTCTCGCGTCCTCTCGCTGCGCCGTAACTCGACCGAGATCATCTTAGTCGCATAGTGAGGGTACCTCGGGAGGGGAAAGTTGCTCGTGAGCTAGAAGTTACGCAGCTCTGGTTTAGATCCTCACATTTATTTAACTAACTAGTTTAGTTTTGAATTACATTCAAACGAAAAAGAAAATAATCATATTTATCTTTTTTTTTATCTTCCGCAAATTGGGTGAAAGAAGATATTTCGTTCATTGTTAATGAAAACATTGTGTCAACAAATAAAAACAATAAAACCAAAAAAAATAATAAAAGCACTAAAGTAATGAGAAAATGCTAAAAAAAGAAAAGTAACTAAATAAATCTAATAAATAACAAATGAATGCTAATACTAAAATAACTAAATAACTAGACCTAATGAATAACTAATAAATACTAATACTGAAATAACTGATAGCTGAAATACTAAAAACACTAAAATAATAACAAAAAAAAAATAAAATACAAACTTGAATGAAAAAATTGCTTTGATTCGCTACACACGTCTTGCTTCCTCAAAAGTTTACCAGAAACTGACAAGAGAACATATGTATCACCGATCAATCACCGATTTTGATGAAATTTAAGTATAATGTAGTTTTCATAAAAATATTTGACACGTATTTTTACCGTGAAACCTATTTCCACAAATATCTCGAAAATTACTAGAGATAGAGTAATTGTGTAAATTGACAAAATTAGTATATTTCAACGACGAATAATACATTACAAAATAGCATATTTTTGATCATTTTTCCTGCTAAATGTTAATACATTTTCTTGAATATTTGTTTATAAAAACTAAACATCCAAGCACAAATGACGGATAAATTGGAATTTGGATTTTTGCATTATAAAAAATGTTAGTATATTTGAAATTGTAGCGGATGAAATAGCCCACGCAGTTTACCTGCATCTTGCAAAGGGTGGCCACGTTATACAACAATGTGCGTGGTATAGGCTGTTGGGAATCAGTCGGACATTGCGCTGTCGCCAGGAGTGGTTAAACAAATATAAATTTTATATTTTAAATTTCGTATTTAGACGGAAATAGTCAGAATACTTTTTCACGTTGTATTTATTTTTTGGTAGTTATAAATTTGGTGGTTCTTAATGATAATAAAACAATACATGTTTTTTGAGGAAAATAAATATATTTCTTCTTTATTTTGACTTAGGAAGAGGAAAAGGAGCAGTACCAAAAAAGAAATCTTTACAGACAAATCTTCCCCTTTCTTTAGGAAAAGGTAGAATTACTTCTGTTGACGTTTAATGAACAATTATGTTCTTAACAATTTTTGTAATAATAATGTATATTTTTGTGCAGGGCGTGGATTTCTCTAAACGTGCTTACTGGACCTTCCTACTTATACAATAAAATCGGAGTTTTTATCATATTTTGTCTTAAAGTGTATGTAATAGCAGCATTGTTATATAATAGTACCTAGCAGTATAGACTTACATGAACCAACTCATGTATATTTCATTTTAAATACATCATATGCACTACAATCTTACAATAAATAACAAATTACCCAGAAGTAGATACTTATCTATTTTTATTGTATTAACACGTTGATCGCCCAGCGTGAATCGGTAGAGTTTCTCCCGGGGCCCAAATCCGATACTCGGAGTCTAAACAGCGCGATTAACTGGAATAGCGATACGATGCAATGCGGTGTTTCATTAAATATTTCTGTTACAAATAAAATTATTATAAATTACCCCCAAAATCCTGTTTAATTGGACGAAGAAGAGCATCACCCGTTTACGGCGATAAATGTGTTAAACATCATAAAAATTTTAATGTGCATTTATCGATAATTTTGTTCGTTCGATTTTCGAGATCAAGGGAACAGAGAAAAGAATAAATTTAAATAGAAAGAGTATTTTTTATTCGTGTATTACATGTTAAGCTCGTATAAATACGTACACAAGTATATAAAGTTCGACGATCGCTTAGCAGAAAGTACAAGCGTATGTTTGATAAAATAAAAAATTACCATGTACAATGTAGTTAAACGTAATAAAAAATAATATCAACTACGCGTGTATACGAGACTCGCGTGACACAAAAAGACCATTAAATTATCTTAATTAATCAATACATATTATATGTCGTTAAATACCAGTGGGGTGATTATACGTAAAATGTGCATGTGACTGAGTGGTGTAAGTATATTGTGTAATATAAAACAACAGGTAAAAGCTGTAAAAACAAGGGAGGTCCGTGACGGTTGTCGCCCAGCATACCGGGAGATTTGTCAGGTTTTTTTTTGTAAGTATGGCGATGTTTGAGATGCGGTCGATTATTTCCGATAATTGCTACGCGGCGGTAAATACTGGTTACTGGCTGCACCTCCGCTGTATCCTCCTCCACCAGTTCCAGCTATAAAATGTTACGAAATACGCCAAATTTTCATTTGATGCAATTGTATTCACACCTAAGCTATTATAATTTCTTAGTACGAAAGGGGTATAGTGGTGACATCTACCGAGGAAGAGTACAATTAGCATGCCCGTCGTTATAGCGGTAAGAAACATTCGAAGGAGAGGCTTCCATTTGCAGATTTTTACTAAAGTTGAAAAATAATGCATACATCTAAGCTACTTTTTAATAATTTCAAATTCTAATACTTTATTGAAGCCTATTCTATTATCTTAAACATAAATCCTCAGGTACAAAATCTTTTATTGCTCTGTAAAATCTATTTGTCTGGCACACTACTTCGTATATAAATAAAAAATAAAAATTATACAATATCTTGTAGTGTGAATAATTTTTTTAATTTGTACGCATAATTGTGCAGTGTTAAAATCATACTTACCACCTTGATAGCCACCCTGCTGGTATCCTCCAGCACCTCCCTGGTAACCACCACTACCACCAGCACCACCTCCATAAGCTCCAGCACCTCCTCGAGAGTATTGGGCCTGTCCTTCATACTGAACATCAGCCGTGTAACCATTTGCATCATCAGCCATGTATTTCACGATCTGTGTCCTCGAATCTGGCAAGAGTACTCTGTATTCCCCTTGAACCACGTTACCATCGCTACTCTCGCGTTGGGAGTAATCGTTACCACTAGGGGGGTCGTAAACTTCGTATTGAAAGCTGTATGGTTGAGGCTGAAACAATGAAATTTTAATAAAATTATTCTATTGCGGGCGGAGTAACTACAAAATAATATTTTCGACTTTAGTTGATCATCACTCTAACTATTTGTATCGCTTAAAAATCCGTGAATTTATTAATCGGTTGGGTTCATACGATTTTGTGAATACATATATGACTCCATTGACCTCAAAGGTTTATTATACGATGAAACAAAATAATTACAAAACTTACTCTTCCACCATAGCCACCCTGGAATCCACCATCTTGATAACCACCACCGAATTGTCCACCTCCAGGAGGTCCATAAGTGTTGGAAGGACGTCCACCACTGAATGCACCAGTGTCACCACCACCACTACCACCTCCTCCTGGTGGTCCATAAGACGTGGATGGTCTCCCACTGAAGCTTCCACCAAAGTCTCCGCCTCTTCCACCGCCTAAGTTTCCAGAGAATCCCCCTGGACCCCCAAATCCACCACCACCACCTGGTCTGTTGTACTGGTAACCAGTTCCACCGGCGTTACCACCTGGCAGCAATCCAGCGAGTGCATCACTAGCCAGACACGATAGCACCAATAGCGCTTTCGTTAACTGAAATGAAGTTATTTGATATTGTAGGATCGGGGCCTTCGTACCCAAATCGGGAAACGACGAGGAAAAATAGGGAGGGCGTTATTGGCGTAGTGCGCAATGTCTAGGCTTGCCAGCCGGGAGAGGTCGCGGGTTCGATTCCCAATAATTGGTTCCCTCATTTTTTCCTCGGTTCCTACGATATCATTCTAAATGTATCTTCTATTTACAGGTCTAAAACAATGTAGTTAGTGTCTTAAACAAGAAATACAGTATGTAGACATATGTTGGGCCAGCCTGGAATGGTGGCTGAGTAATTCAATTTTTAGCGGTTGATTGTAATCTACAAGTCTTAAGTGTGCTCCTCTTGCAATATCTTGATATGTAAATTCTTGTAATTAATGTTCAGAGATAAAGGTTACTGATTTTGACGACTATTCTGTTGCAGCTAATTTCACTGTTGGTCAATGATGATAATCAGTATTGCTGTATCACATAACAACACTGGTTAATATTAATACGTCTCCTAATGGATCATTTCTGGAATTACTTCCTGTGGACATGAAGCAAATCACTAGAGTACCTAGAGAGAAACTTGAAAAGTAAATGGTAACCTTGCAACATCAAATTTTGCAACCTCTGTTCACTAATAGTGCGTTCGATAAGTCACATTCTTAACTGAGAAGAACTATAAAAGTAGAAGCGATTACAGATTCTCCATTGGGAACAATGGAGCAATAAAGATGAACTGTATGCTAGGTTTATGATCAAGTGTTATGTCTGCCAATATAGATTCTTCCAATGGAGGGATATTTGCAAATGTTTATTGCGCCAGAATGTTAATATTTCAGAATGCAATTTCTCAGATGGAAAACTGTTTTTCTGCAAGAATAGGATTAGTAATGACATGCATGTTACAACACTGTGGCCATTAGTACTACAGGGGACAAAAAGACGAGTTCAGTAGAAAGTACGAAGTATCACATGCCAATAATTTACCAATGGCGAAATTAATGTTTTACTGAAGTTAGGGATGATTGCTGGACGAGCGTGTCCTCCTCTTTTCATTATAACCAATGTCTGTAATTCAGTCCAGTGAAAATGGAACATTAAAGAAGAAAATGAAATTCAGATACTTTAGGTAGATTTAGGTTTATAAATTGGTCTTATAAGTGCTTCAGAATTTCATATTCATGGTACTTTCAATTTTAGATACTCAATTTATCGCGATTTCTCAATTGTAGAATTTATATATAATTTTCGAGCATAATTCTTGGTAACAGATATATTGGTAACGAAAAGCTAAAAAATTTCCTCCTAAAGAAATTTTGTGCGCAATTCCGTACAACAGAGTCAAGCTTTTTAACGCTCTTTTTAAAGTTACCGTTTCTTTACCTAAATTTAAAAATGAAGAAATCTATAAGAAAACTACAATTTACCTATCATATTTTAAACCGGAGAAGATTCTAATATCTCCGCCAAATTTGAACCTGAAGAAGATGAACATTTTCCCTGTTAAACTTACGAATTAACGTGACTAAAGATCACAAGACCAAACAAAGAGAGATAAGAATAAGAAGAATATGAAATAATCGATATCTCGAATTTTCAAAAATGGACCGTGGGCCAGAGTACAGCCAGTATTGGTACTTTCGCGTAACTAGAAAGGTGATTAGCAAACATAGCCTACCTGGTGGTAATTCATATTGCTGTTATGAGCGAAGACGCGAAGCGAACTGAGAAGATGATCCACGGACGAGTTTATATACTGTGCGGACCCTTTGTTACAGTTTATCCTTAGTGCTGCATATCCACGTATTAACCAGTACGTATTAGAATGACCGTCTGTGGGTGTAAGAGGTGGAGAGGAGCAGCGCATCTTCCCTTCACTCTCGGTGATGCATCATGGGAAGAGATATCCCGGTTGATGATGACTGAAATAGCTTTAAATTTTAATTGGATCCACGCACGTGACTACCTGATCGCCTGGATCATTGGGCTGTCCAAAGAGAAGGAAAGAGCCCCGGGTTCCAACAAATGGGAGGCCACTGGATATTTTGTAGCACTCTGCTGGAGAATTTACATGATTTGACTTGAGGACCCCATTGAAGGACTTCTTTTTACAGCTTTACCTGTCAATCTCTACATTTTATTTGCGGATTAATACATATTTTGTAATTTTTCAGGATTTTCGTTTTTCTAATATTCATCGAAAAATTTAGATTCGTCAAATTATTGTATATGTGTGTGTACATTGTTTTACAGCTGAAAACGTATGGAACCGTTTTACTCTGGTTGCACAACAACGTTGTAAATCTCTTTGTCAACGTGTTACTATATCGAGGCGTCCCATCTGCGTTGAAAAATCCCCTATGCAAAAAAGATTTCAATCTCGTCCGAGTGCTGAACCAATTACTAACTTGTAATACGAATGAAAGGTAGATGAAGAAATAAGCTTGCTGTATATGTGCGGGGATTGAGCACAGAAGCAGAAAAATAAAGAATGAGCGGGAAAACTCGTTTTAGGCTTTAATATCTCCATAATCGGATCATGCATGATATAAAAAAAAACAAAGGAATGAAACTGTAACCCACATGGAAGGTGGCAATTAGGACCAAAGTTGAATTTGAATTGCAACAACCAACTTTATTAATTTATAATATTTTTTATTACATCCAATTATATTCCGAAGCTTTTCCTCCTGTCTGAAAAGTTTAACGATGATTATGTATATGGTCATCCAAAGATTTTCTATGTGTGTCCAGTGATTAAGAAACTGCCCTGTACTTTTACTCAAATGGAATGTGATTCTGTATTCCTATATTTGGCAATAGAAGCATATTATTCATATTGATCCTGCAGAGGATTATGTAATTTTTTGGTTTATCAATTTATTCCTTCAAGTTGATATCACCTGTGATCAAGATCGTAGTATAAAATCCCATTACATACTCCTGTATATTTCTTCACTGAACCAGTTATCCAATTTTTCCTTCCGTATTGTCCAAAGATGTCACAGGACTGAAGTCAACAGTAAGACATAACAGCTTCAAACATCTCAGAACACTGATGTAACAAGTTAACTAGGGAAGAAGGCTGCTTTTAATGAGGCTGCCTGTAAAGTATTCACCCAGAAAATTATCAACGTCCAGCTAATCGGATTGCGTCCATGAATAGTATATGTAATTGCGTGTTCGCGACAAATAATGAATTCTGCATGATTGTACGAGGTTATGTCATTATCAGTAGAATCATAGGATCTTTCATCAGACAGATTAGGATCTATCTGAGCATTTTTAGGTTATTTCAATGCTGGTTGAATATTTCCTTAATTGCACCTTTTCTTCTGGCGCCATTCTTTTTCCAGTTCCATCTGCCTGGCCGCTAATGATTCAATTAAAGCCTCAACCAGCTTTACCGACTGTTGCATAGGTATTGTCGATATCGATTCGATTGTACTGCAACATAGATTTCGTTCGATCTGACACAGATTACACACAGATCTGATCCCATAATTCCACGCTGCCATAAATCCAACATAGTCGGAGCATGGAATTCGCAATACTCTGGTAATATCTGTGATCGATCTCTCTGTGAACTTTAGCTCTACGTAATGAATTCAATCAGTCGAAAAATGTTCAGTTCAAAATCGGTTCGAAACCGTTTGGAAACATTACAAATGGTTCCCTTTTACTATAATTAAACAATAAGAATTACTGAAGATTGTATTGTCCATTTCGTTCAATTTATATTTCACTTTATTCAGACAGATAATATTTCCGATTTTAGGCTAATGGAAAGAAGATTTTGCTGTGTAAGAAGAATAATAAGGATCGGTAAAAATGTTACTTTTTCAACAGAAGAAATTCTGAAGAATTTATTATTCTTTTTAACCATATTACATTTATAATTTTTCTCATCAGTACGTAACCTACAAAAGCATCATTTTGCTCTGCTGAAAGTAAGCATTGCATAGTAAAGAAATGAAATAACTGAAATCCACTCAAAGAACTATGAACAATTTCCAATTTCCAATTTCCACTACACGCACAGTTATGGAGGATACTAGCCTCCCTGTCAAGTGGAAGCGTTCACCAGGGAAATGCGTTCAACAAACACGCCACAGGGTGTTACGTGGTCCATAGGTGAAAGATAATTATTCCTTCAGCATTACAATTACAATTATTATAATTCCCGTGAAGGAGCGTGTCTGGAAAGTTTCACGCTAAATCATTTTCTCTCCTCCGATCTACAGGAAAACAAATTCGAATAGTCGTAAAATGCAAATGGTGTATACTCAACAGTGGCGTTAAATTGTTACAGGAGCTGCAGAACGAATAAAGCAATATTTCAACCTGAAGAAAACAAAATTCAAGAGTGGTGAAGTGGATCTATAAAAAAAAGTGACGATTTAGAGGTTAAATAGCCACGTTAATTCGCCTGAATGGTATTTCAATTAGATTTTATGCCTGACCATTGATATAATTGCGATCATAAAGTGTGCTATTCTATTTTCAACCAGGTAATTGTTACCGTTCCCCTCAGTTGGCCATCCTGACCGTCTTAATAAGAAGTTTATTAACTGGTACAGGCCATCAGCATGTCCGATTACGAAAATGATCAAGTCAAATTTTTTTTCAGGTGTCAAGATTGATCGCCAGGCCTGGTTGAAGGCTCGTGGATACTCAGAAGAACGATCTGAAGCTGTTTGTATTCAGGAACTTGACTGATGTTGGCTCGGATGCACCTATGAAATCGTTTCTAAACGATTTCGCGCGTTCACTTCTCCCAAAAGCATTAACTCATCTCCGGTTGACGCGTGCACTCCCACAACATGGCGATCCATGTATTTTTCTTTGAACATTTCGTTCCGTGTTGCACACTTTCTCTGACTTTTAACATTTCTTGTAGGTTATGTAGTAAAATTTGAACTTCAGAAAGAATTGCACCGTCGAATGAGCTTGGAAAAATGAAAATAGAATTATTTTTTCAATAGAAGGGAAAATTGGAATATAAAGTTTAATAATAGGTTTACATTTATTTTTTTCGAGTTGAAAAAGTCACAGGAGAAGTGGTTAAGGAACGAATAGATCTATGTACTTCTCTTATTCTTTTATTATTTTTCTAATTAGTTTTATTTTGTCATTTTTAGGCATAATATTTTGTAGATTATTTTGAGATTTTGATAATTTCAATAAAGGTCAGCGGGTGAAGTACACATGCGCAAATATGTGCAACAGTTAAGTCGCAGTAGTGAGGCCAAATACTATGGTAAATAATCGTACGAGCCGAATGACATGATCGTCATCCAAGTCTGCTATTATATTCGTTTCGTAAACGTAGACGATTCTTACAACATGCTCGCGTATCTGCGCTGCACGCAGGAATCACTTTCCCTGCAACCCCCTGTAAATCCCTCGTTGATTCTTCTACTGCAACAAAACATCATTTAGAAGAGCATACAGTTCCTCGATCACATGTAAAATGTATACTTTTATTATGAATAACATTTTCTAATATTACAAATAAATGTGCGAATGTAATATTTGTTGGAACTAAAAATATGCAAGAACAATATAAAAGATGACGGTTAGACTAGGTTAGGTTGTTACAAAAACAAATCGTTTCTTAAATTTTTCAAATATCTTGAAGAATGTTCTTGATTCTCGACAAAAGTTTAACGAAGATTAACTCATCTTTGCATCACATAATTAAAAAGTGTAAGGTCAGAGCAAAAAGTAATGCAACATCTACGAAGAAGAATTAATAATTTCTAAATTAAGCAATGATGAATTTCATGAACCTGTTACCAACTTATTACAAGCACATGTAATGAAGTATAGCATAGTAAACCTTACCACTTAATAATATCACTCGGCAAAGAACAATACAAGATTTCCAAAGAAGAATTAGTAATCTCTAATTCAAGAAATGATCAACTTAATGGATCCATTACCTAGCTGTCATAAACTACATCCCATCAAATGCACGTATTAAATCTACCACATTTATAGGTACCTTATAAGGAACAATGCAACATTCTCAAAGATGTACTAATTGTTCGAGAAATTTTGAAGTTAATATGAAGCAACAATTTTGTCAACCTGTTGCAATCACAGCTAACAAAATACAACATATTAAACCTATCGTAGTTGCAATTATGCTACAAAGAATAATTATAAAATTGTCATAGAAGTTTCAATGATTCTTTATACAGAACTGTTACCGACCTATTATGAAAGCCAACAAGGTACAATCTCTACTTATATTTATAATTACATCAAGCTACTCAAACTTCCGTAACAACCATCGAGATCTATTCTAACCTAAAAAAAAAAAAAAGAGAAAAACCATTTCAAATCCCATGAAGAGACAAAGGGTAACAGTTAGATGTCCATAAAATTATCAGTTTCGCAAACAAACGTCCCCCCTTTTGTACACACGCTCAGATTCCACCGATTTATTATAATGATTCGCCTTCGGCGCATCCACGACTGTTAATTCGTTTCTTAATCTGATTTCGTAATCCAGGTTGCATTATCTCGATGGAGACCGGTCCATGGCGGGACGTTTAATTAATCCCGACATAATTATCGCTAATTACGGCTGACACAGTGGAGCTGGTTCGGGGTGTATAAGTTAGGTTGCATGGGAGCTCGTGCTGCCCCATGCAAGAACGCCCGGATTTCACGCCCCCTCTCTTTCTCTTGCTATAGAATCACAGAGTGAACGTTTTGATGCGCGTCTACACCGTAATCGGGGATAAACGGCGATTACATAATCGTTGCGATGCGGAAGACGTGTGGAGCCTCCTGCATATGTATGCACCTATGCATTCCACCTCTCATCGCTCTCGGGAACCACGTGATCGACATCACTGCTCCCTGGTGGTTAACTGTTGGTACAATTTGTGGAGAATCCATGGGGGTTGCCTGAGGAACTTTGCAGTGAGGAGACTTGTGGGCTTAGAAGTGAGTCTATCAACGATGTGTAATTTTTGAAAGCACCAAACTAATACAAATGGAGATGCAATGAGCACCATAAAGTATATCCACTCTTTGTGCATTTTATTATGTTAGAAAGTTTCTTGGAATGATAGTATTTCCTTCTTTTCTTTTTTTTTTTTTTGTAAAAGGTAATGGTATGTGTGTCATAGAATTTTTGCTATTCTTTTTTTGTGAATTTAAAAGGTAATAATAAATATTAATAAATATTTAAAAAGGTAACAATATGATAAGGGAATCTTTACATTCTTGGGTTTAATGATTTTTCAGAATGAGAATCTCCATTTTTAGGGAAGCATAACAAACATTGTACTTGTTACTAAGTATTTTTCACATCTTTTGAATACATACTGAAACTTTTATAAATTCTTCTTAGAACTTCGGAAATTATCATGAAGCAAAGTAGCTTTTGTAAAAAAAAAAAGCTATAAATACCAGTACTATGCTTTGCAGATATTTAGATTGCATAGTTTGTTATTCTCGAAGACTTTAAAACAATTTGATAATTTGCTTTTCTTGTTACAAATATACAGGTAAAAACGTCATGAATGAATTTATGCAAAATGAACGCAAAGAGATGCCTGACTATTAATTAACTTACTCCTGCCAATCACTCTCAGTTACGACAGAGGATTTAATTTTACTGATAGGTAAACGTACTCTGTAATTCCGTTTCACGGATGATTTTACGACTTGCAGAATACTATTAATACCACTGAAGTCGAACGCCGCTACCGTTCACGATAATTAATCTCCCTAATATTATAACAACTCCGGATAATAAAATAATAATACGTCAATTATCACGTAACATCCCGTTTCTTGCACAAGCATCGGCAATTCCACACTATTAACGATAATCAAATATGATAATTACGGTTAACTTAACCTATACGCTAATAAACAAGGAAGCAACAATTTAATATAGGTACTACTTTTTTCAAAAGATCTTTATCTCATATTATCTCACAGATACATATTTCAACATCCTCAAACGTCTAACTACCTACTGGAAAATCTTTCAGTTTACTTTACACAAGGAGACAGGAGTGGAAATGCACGACTGGATGGAAAAAAAAACTCGTGACAGTGAAGTATTCTATTCAGGTATACAGAAGTGACGAACGTTTTCGAGGTTTCATCCTCATTTCCACAAGATTTTTCACGGCGAATTCAGAGCATTAGTAGCCTACTCTAGTCATTATCCGCGTTCCTTTGGAACGGCTAACGTCTTTCATGTCGATGTAAATACATAAGTACTTACTTTCAGTCGAACGCATTCTCGATTACACCATACTTCTACGAAACCTTTTTCGCAACTTTATTCCATCCGTGCTCACCCTCGCAACGTGGCGCGTATGAATAGGACGTATCCGGGTACCATCGATTGTTACAGAGCTTTCTTGGACTCCTCTCACGCCACAGCCACTTTTAAACTTTGATTTTTAGCTATGTGTGACACCTACACCATCTCCTATATAACTTTATTAATTTATTCTCTGATAAAATTCTACGTGGATTCAATAGTACACAAGAATAATTCAATATTTCTTTCAGGAAGTTAGGAAGTGATTTTTTAAATAAGGTTTCATGTAAGAAGTTGGAAGAATCATAAATTTAAAACATCGATACTTGTTCTGTCACAGTAATTACATGCAAGAAGCAGAGAAAAGGATAAATTATAATACTGGTACTTCTTCTCACATGGTAGTTGCTTTTTTGTTAAAGTATAAGTTAAATAGAGTTTCATTTAGGAGATTTATATTTTTCTCCATCTAGTGCTTGATTCGTTATCAAACTATCAGATAAAATTCCTGACAGAATTAGAAAAAACCATAAATTCATGTTGTTGGTTCTTCTTTTCGTATTCTACTTGCTTTTTTTTTATCAAATTACTGAGTAACGTTTCATGTGAGAACCAGAAACTATCAGAAATTTAAGTTAGTGATACTTCCATTTCTACTAAAATTGTTCGTTAAAACTTAATACAAAAAATTGGAAGAATCATAAATTGAGGTTATGGGCACATCTTCTCACGCAATACTCCCTCCTCCAACAAATTAGAGCGAGTAACAGCCATATATTCAAGTCTTTCTCACTTAAAGAGCAGAAAAGACGTTTCCACATCAAAATCAACTGATCATTGTGTTCTTGCCGGTCATCGATGAATCCAAGTAGACCCTGTTAAATCATCAATTCTATATACAATCTACGTAGAAGCAGAAACGTAACACAACACTCCTTGCTGACCGTTCTCCAAGCAGTTTAAACGAAATCAAGGAAATTAACTTTAAATGGAGCGTCGGCTCTCGCAGAAAGCACTTTCAAAACACTGTTGTAGCGTCGATTAAACCGGCCACTCATCTTTCACGTCGGGGCAATCTTAAAGACCGCAAGTCAGACGCATCCTATCGATTACGTCACGTTGTTTTCGTAAGTTGCGATCAAAGAAAACTTTTGTCCCCTCACCTTCACCTTTCACTAGTTGAAGGACATAACTGATCGAATCTGTCCTTTCCAGCCCCGATTGTAGCTCCTCTATGGGATTAAAGATTAAACTGGAACTCTATTGAATATAGAAAAGAGGTTAATATAAAATTACTATTTACTTATTGTAATTGAATAAAGTAGCTAGGAGTAACTTAAAATTTGAGAGTTAAAAAATTGGTTGCATTTTTAAATGTAACGTTAACATTGGTCATTGAGGTTACACTCTGATTATAGGTTATAATTGTTACGAGATCACCTTGTATATTAACTTAACCCGTTAATGAAGGAGACGCTGAAAAAGGAATTCGACGTTATGCGCTCATTTATCACGTATCAACGTTTCGTACGTAACAAACTGATTTCACACAGCGTATGATGATTAATCGACCGCCATTAAAATGGATCCTGCAAATAGGGATTACCCCTGTGCCTGCTTAATTATTCACCTCCAGGTACGAAACAATGGTGAATTAAAATTTTAAAAAAATTTGTAAAAAATATTTAACTACTTTTTAATCATTCCAAGTATATTTAGCAATTTTAACACACTTTGGAGTATAATTCACGACTCTATAATATCAGAGAAAGCGTCCTCCCGAGCCACGTGTCATCCAAGCTTCCTGGTGATATAATGTAAAATAATACCGATCAAAATTCGACCGTTGTTATGCCTACTTTTTACACCTAGAAACTTCTTCAGCATTTTTCTCTGAAGAATGAAACATTTTTTCAGTCAGACACCATGCTTCCCATTTACTGCATCAACGTGATAGGATCCACATAATTTCACTGACTGGTGGGAAAATCAGTAATTATATAGCACGACTGGCGTAAAATAATATTATTTATATAATGAATGAACTTATGAGATAGGAAGCGGTATTTTGACTTCCTATATTGATCTCATCTGCTCTTAGATTCATTTAAATTCAGTTATTTCACAACTTCTTTCCACTTTCAAGAAGAAGGTGAATACTCTTATTGATAGTAATCATTTCTTGAAACGAAATAATCTGACAGGAGTAAAGTATTGTATTAATAGATTTAGCAGGTTTTATTTAACATATGCTCGTTGTAAATTTTTAATAAAATAATGTGAGATAATTAAAACATCTTTTTGTTGAAAAAAGTTACAGTGAGAAGTTCATAAGATAGTAATATAAATTTGACATGAATAAAATATTATTGCGATAAAATTATGAATTTTATTGCGGCGACTCTCATTACGACGTAGCCTAGCAACTCTTGGCCCTTCTTGGCGAAGAGTCAAGAGATGTTTTCCAAACCTTTCTGGGTTTTTTGTCCTCCAGGGCAAGAAAAGTGTTTTAGCAATGCCTCCACTTTCTGGGACTTTTCCCAAGGCAAGTAAGGGGCCATTTAAGTGAACCCACAAAAAGGGACGAGAAGTTTGGTCGTAAACCTTCGAGCTAAGTAGGTACACAGTTTCTCTTACAAACCATACGCGTTTCGCATTCTTATAAAAATTAATTCTTAAGTGTTGGTTAAAATACATATATATATATTTTCTTCTTTTGGTTACATAACCACACGTCTAATTACTTCACCTCACGTCCACACAAAATTATTTAACACATATTCTTAATGAACGACTGATAAAAACATTCTAGTTGCTTAAAATGTGATTTTTATTACAGAAGATGGTAGAGGGAATTTAAAAAAACCGCCAAGGTGAAATATTTAAATCGTTTTTATTAAAAAAGGAGTTAATCTTATAGGACGCCTCTTACTCTATGCTAGAAAATTAGAATTGTACTAAGGTCACTTAAAAGCTGGTCCATACGTGGACGACGGAATCGGCGTGTTGAAGTTATTACGGGCGCCAAAGTTGTTATAGCTGTTGTCTAACAAGTTGGAGCCAAATTGGTATGGATAATTGTTACCACTGTTGAAGTTTCCACTGGGTGCTTGATAATTATATCCTCCATTGTTCCCTTAAGTAACAAAACACAATAGTAATTCGTCAATCTTGTACACAAACGCTCGTTTAAAATTTATAATCCACTTTTAAAAGCCTGTTCAGAATAACTAGAGGCTCTATTTAATACTTTCAAAATATTCTACAGACAGAGTAATAAACTCATTTAAAGAAGTGAACCTCTAATTATCTGTCATTGGGTACCGGCAAGCTACCTGGAAGATTAAGTACCTGAATTGCCTGCACTGTATCCACCAGCGGCATTATTACCATGGAAACCAAAGCTTTGGCCACCAGCCTGGTTATTGTTGTTACTATTATTATTATTGTTATTGTTATTGTTATAGCCATTGTTCTGTGTGTTGTACTGGTCGGGATAAGTAGCTGTGCCCTCGTATCTGACATCTGCATGAAACCCTGTCCTCCAATCAGCGGTGTAGGTTACTATTTGGGTCCTACCATCGGGTAGCTGGACCCTGTACTCCCCTCTGACCGTCTCACCGTCACTACTCTCGCGTCTACCAAAGTCATTTCCAGTTGCTTGGTCCTTCACTGCGTAGCCGAACTCGTAGGACATTGGCTGAAAAAGAGAAAAGTAGGGTAAAGAAGAATTTATTAGACAATTTAACAAATTTGTCCGCTGTTTTTGACTGTTTCTCTAACATCAGATAAATTTTATATCGATGCCTACTTTGGGCGCATTACAGTAACCTATGGAAGAATTGACCAAACCACACTCTGTGATCTGTATTGTGCCATGTGCACATATGGGCCTTATTTGCGTATACAGGAACCCCCCTTGTCGGACTTTCTATTAAAGTGACTTCTCAGATCCCTGTCTAAAATGTTTTCTTAACCCAATTTAGTGATTTCATTGCTGTATTATTATCTTGTACACACTGCAAAGTGTGATAACACGAAGATGCCATTAAAATGGCTTCCTATCGAGCTAATAAACCGTAATCATTATACATAAGTATTATTTCCTGTTCAATGACTCGAAACACTTTCATCACCGCATTTCAGGCACTCTTCTGATTTATGTGAAACGACAGATCCCCCTGAGAGTGTGCAGCATGTGAAGAGCATATTAGAAAGTGTTATACTTTAACAAGATACCACAGATTTATCAATAACAACCATTTCAATATTCCCAGTTGCAAATTTTCAACGGTTACAATTCACCCGACAATTATCGTTACGCTAATTCCACAACACCGGTAGTCAATTTAAACGCTATAAATTCACGATTATTGAATTGAACAGAGTATTTCTGGTTGGTCGATCAACGATCATCAGATTATGTTTACACTGGATTTTGAGTATAAAAAAAAAGAAACAGAGGTAGTGTAAACGGTGGTCGAGTTACGTGACAGCTGAACTTTCTTCCAGGTAGAAGTGGAGCATACGAGGTAACTGAAGAGGATCGAGAAGAAGAAGGCTGTGATTTAATCTGGCTCGCGCCAGACTGCTCGACCCCCAGGCTGGAGCCGCGCAAATGCACATAACCGGACCGTTTAGATTCTCAAGAAGATTAGCTAATCGGCAATAACGATTCGCCATGGATGATGCCTGTGGTCGCGGTTCACCCTATTAATATTATTACGTCAACATGTTGCGTTTACGACACCGTCGTGGACTCGACGAATGTGTAACATTTTCATGGTGTTGGCGGGATTCCGGTGCCCACGCAGTTTCCGGAACTCTTCGTAACGTGTCGCCGACACCTTTTTCTCTCTGCATTTGTAGAATACTGTTATAGAGCACTTTTTTACCCTTTTACCTTTTTTTTTTTTTAAGAGTAGAATATTGATTTATAGAATTTCTTTTACGAAATATTCTCGTGAAACGTTTCCTTATAACGTATTCTGTTACGAGATGGTCTCTGCATGGAGAATTGTCCTTTTGCGAATGGTATTCTGTATTTCTTCGTGGATTATTTCATTTTGCATTAAAATTGTTTTTTGCGCAATATTTTTTTCTTACACAGAATTTAATTCCCCTGGAAGTTATTTCTTTGCAAAATATTTCCTTCCGAAGTGTTCAATCTATTCGGAAAATTTATTCCTCCACAGATCGGTTGTTACTTTGAAATTACCGGATTATATGAAATATTTCTTCGTGAAATCGAAAGTAATAAGAGTGAACAATTATTCCAGATGTTCATCGTGTGTTCAGAGGTACGAGATGCGTTTCGCTAACCGCAGTTTGTTCTGCATTCTCCAAAGACATCCTCCATTACAACCGGCAGAATGTTACGTACACGAGCATTCCTGATTTCATGTGTGATAAACTCGTTTACGGATCGAACGCGTAAAGTAACAATTCTCCAGCCGCGTGCTCTTCATCTCGCGCTTGTCTGTCAGATCCAGCTACCTGATTCTTTCCTGAATTGCAACGATAAATTATCAATCTCGCGCTTGAAACACGTTATAACATCCTGGACGTTTATGGTAAACTCTAGTAGCAATCAGATACCTCTACAAACTATTAGAAGAAGAATTTTGCCACGTGAAAAGCGAAGCAGAATAAGTCCAATTCAACATTGTACGGTGAAGAGAGTTTCTTGGATGAAATCATTGGAGGATCATTTCCCATTAACTTTGCAACATTGTAAGGTGCTTGTGTTAATGTAATTGCATCACCTAAGAAGTGGTTATTGTTGTCTGTCGCAATAGAGTTAAGATACTTATGAAGCACATAAATTCGCTTAATGATGGCACAGATCGGGCTGTTAATAATTCGTGGTTTAGGCTCTACCTTAAACAGTTCTCAGGGTTTCTTTTTAATCTACTACAGTTTAAACGAACTGCTATTATCTCAGAAGATCTATTTAAATCTTTACAACGTTGAATGGGAAATCAAGGATTTCGTTAATATTTTTGAACAGCTTTAAATTGTTCTATGAAAAATCGGAAGTCATTTTCAAAAAATATTTCATACTTTTTTTAATAATTCTAATATTGTTTGTACAATACTAATCGTTTTCAGCTTCAAGAGTGCCCTTTCACAAGGGAAGAGAAACGGAGACAAAGAGAACAGATGTTATCGGTTTCATTGATACTCGATCAATCTTTCTAGATTTACGTAACGAGACCGAGCATACCTAGTTCGACAAAGTTCAATGTTACTTGTAGAATCAGCGTTAACCCAGATCTATTCATCTCTAGCAACCCCTGCTTCTACAATGAAACACTATAGCGGAAATGCTGGCTGAATGGATCAACGAGGAACTGAAACCTGTTCTCCTCTGTACATCTTTTCACCTGTTTCTGACTTCATTGATTAACTATCAAAATAATATTTTACTGCGAAAAACGAAAATAAAAAATAATTTCATATTTCTACTTTCTAACTCTCCGTACTCGGTAACTATCTTTTTACTAAACATTTCCTTTTATGCCATGCCATGTTGAAGATATTGCAAAAAGGAAGGTAAATGAAAATAAGGAAATGTTGGTTAAAGTTATAGGTACACACTCCACGTGTGATAAATTGATTTAGTCATTTCTGTTAATGTTCGAGCTTTGTTAACACCAAAACGAGTTTCCCTGGAGCAGCATCATCGATCGTTAAGAGAGAACGTAATTCAGTTTCTATCGCAACAACAAGGGGGAATTGTTCGTGGCTCTCGAACAGCCCAAGAAACGGCAATTAAGTTTAAGCAATCGTGATCGTTAGATGCACAAAAGAGGCCTTAAATGGCAGGCAATAAATAAATTATGCCCAGGCACGTTGCGTTCCGAAATCTCGGCGAGAGTCGACGAATGTGATCGATTTTGTTATTAAATTATATTATATTTTAAGTCGTATATTACACTGTATGATATAAATTGATTTATTTCAGATCGCTATACCTGATCGACGTAATCGTTGTCGTTCCCATTATCGTAATGATGATTACCAAAGCCATTACCGCCCGATGCTACGTGATTGTTATTGTTGTTGTTATTGTTGCTGTTGCCGCCAGCATAATTCCCTGGGACACCATACTGGGCGTTCAGTGGGGGTTCGCAATGCACAATCCCCATGCTCACCATCAGGGCGAGTGATAACTGGAAATTAAAGCCTCATTAATTACCTCTGACATCGAGGAATTATTTATGGACCACACCTTGGAGGTTAGCTTAGGTTGCTTCAGAGATTAAGAAACATTTTTGTCTCTCCCATCTGGGATTACTTTGCAAAATTGCTTCAGATGCAAAGGAACGTCGCTACTTGGGACTGACAGTGGTATAACTAAAAAGAGAAGTCAATTTCGATGTTTTATAATACAGTATTCTTTTAAGTTTCACAACTGAAACCAGAGCATATCAGGGTAATTTCGGGAGAGACGCAACACATTTTGTTTTCTGTTTACAGTGTTTTAAATAGAAACAATTAAAAGTATAGGTAAGTGTAGTTTAATTATTTATTTCAATCTCTTTAACGAAATATAACATTAAGTCTATAAAATCTTTATCTTCATTACTCTAGTTTGCTTTTTAAAAAATTTGGAAAAAGTGCACCTCTCCCCAGGCCCTAGGGAGAGATGCACCTCAGATTGGGAAAAGACGCATCTCTATCATTTGTACCCTCTTTTCCCTACTTCTATTCTTTCTCTCTCTCTCTCTCTCTCTACCACACGTATTACACAACGGAGAATACATTTTCGGAAAAATTTTCCTGTTCAAAACCACATCACCTAATCTAAATCTTCTTATGAGAGCCTTTCTCGATATTCCCATACTCTTTGGACACAGCATTTATTTAAACTCATTTCTTTGTTTTTTAGTTTTGAAATAGCTTCTCCCTCGGTTGTTCTTTTGTCCGTGTTAAATGGACAAAGTTAAATTAATGGTGCATCTGTCCTTAAATTGAGGGAGAGACGCACCTGTACAGAAAATTGTGAAGGAGAAACTGTTGCCACTGTTTAAATCAATAATGATAGCTAAAGCTATGCAATAATAATATAAGAACACTTTTACAAAAATATTTTGTCAGAAATTCAGAACACTGACAAGTTTTCATATATTTATTGCACGTAAATAATACAATAGACGCGTTTCTCGGAATGAAGTTGCCTTCATAAACAAGACTACTGATAACGGCAGCTGAAAAAAGGTGACAATCGTCCAGTGTTGTTATAAACAAACATAGTGCATCTCTCCCTATGGCGTGTCTCTCCCGAAATTATTCTACACGATTAGTATTCAACTATTGGTCAAATGTAAATTTTAAACTGCTTTTTCTGTGAAATTTACATTTTCTGGGTTACACCACTATCAATGCTAAGCAGTGATATTTAAATGTTATTATATATATCAGAGATTGTTTTAACATTGGAAATGCTGTATGATTATACTGAAAAGATTGTTTAAGAGTTACAGAATATCTATTGGTCATATTTTAGAAATTACTCTAGCAATTGAAGAATATTTAGCGATCGTATTTAAAAACTTATTTCACAAGCAAACATCATCACATTTCAGTGTACTTGAGTATTGGAGACAACTCTAATGAGAAAAATATTCATCGATCACACCTTAGAGAATACTCGAGAGATAATGGAGCACTTAGTGATCACATTTCAGAATCTATTTTAATATTAAAACAATCTTAATGGTCTCGTTGAAAGCGTTACTTCAGAGTCAAAGAATATTTATCGATCACTCCTCAGAAATTGCTTTATAGATCAAAGAATATACCTATTGATCATACCTATTTTCATATCTTCGTATTTATACAGGGTGTTCTAACAAACACTTCTTAAATAACACTTGAAAAACCAAGTTATTAATGATTACTTCGTCATCCATAAAATTCATTCTCTGAACGCCAAATATAACGTTCGTTAATCACCAAAGTCCTATTACGCAAACGCGTTTCATTCGAAATTTTCTTTTCTAAACCGGGTATCCATCAAAGTCAATGAAAATACAAGTAGAAGAGCGTTAATCTGCGCAATGATACAACAACTTGCTATACTTTTCTACCGATGACTGTAACAGAGAGGAATAAAGGAGCGCACACGCTAATTTGAAAGGTATCAAATGGATTCCCAAGCGTACAACAGTGATGCGTCGCTCGAAAGCGCGAGATGATCAGGCGTTGCGTAGGCGAGAAATTAGAGTCGTGAGCCGGCGTTTTCCTCCCGTTTCTGTCGTGAGAAAGCGTCGAACGGTTGCGTCATCGCGTGTCTCCTCGTTCAAAATTAGTGCGAGATTGTAGGAAAAGGGAAGAAGAAAAATAGAAGAAGGAATTAAACTGGTCTCGTTAAGGAGACTTGTCAGAAGCAAATTTTTAAGACTCACGCACACCATTGTGCTGTGTATAATGGAGAACTAGGCATAATTTCATCAGGATGTAGAAAAACAAATAAAACTTTCATTTATGAATAAATCATGAGTAATTTACTAATTGTATATTCTTACATAAATTGAATATTTTACTGGGGTATATAAATAGTTCAGAGTAATTAGTTGTTAGTGGCAATTTGAACAACAAAATGTACATGTAACTGCTTTTAGGCTGAGGTAGTATTTCCTTTGAGAATAGGTAGAAATTTTCTAATTGTTCCGATAGTTTATCAAATTTTCTAATTATTCTAATTTTATAACATAAAGTTGATTCCAATAAAATTACACGAAATTTATGTATCAGTATATACTTATCTTTAGTATTATTTTTATCTACAATAATTCCAGCTTTGAACATTCTAACTTGAAGATGGTTCTATCGAACGTGAGTCAATCTTTAACAACCTGACTGGTTTTTACAGTCGTTGAAAATGAAATTGAAAATTCCTTGAGACTAGAAAGCAGCTGGGATTCACTTTCACTTTAGCTGATCAGGAAACGAAGGATTCTTTCAATTATATCGAGTCTATTTCTTTCAAAGAGAGGAATTTTTCTATTTACCAAGGCACCAAATGACTCAAATAATTGAACAATCAAACATAAGTATATGTTGCTGGTGGAATTTTTTAAGGTTACTGTAAAGAATTAGATGCATGATTAGAAAGTGGAGGTTGATAGAAATGGTGGAGAGCACATTTTAAATTGAGAAATGAAGATTGACAATGAAGGGTACTATTGTTTACCTCATAACACGAGAGGCAGAATGAAAGAAGAATTTTTAGGTCGCTAATTATGAGAACTGATTATCTCTGACGTAGGTATTCAGCCTACAAGAGGAGTTGTTAGATAGGTACCTACTAATTGTTAGAAAATTAACCCAAATACAATGGATACAAAGTGTTCCTGCATTTTACAGCAGGTGTTAACAAGTTCCGTTTATTAACACATCACCGGTATAATAAATTTAAATTTAATTCGCATTTTGTATTTTAACAAATCTAGTAAAATTACATATTGTGTGAAATTTGAGTAAAAAGTGTTAGAATGAAGTAAAAATGATCTGAAGAAATTTCACTCTGAAAATAGGATGATTGCTCCACTGAATTGCAATTAAATTACAAGAGGCCAGCAGAGGAGCGTCAGAAAAACAGTATCATCGTGAAGAAATCTGGTCAGAGTGTGGCTGAAGCTCCTCCTAAGAGGATTTTCGTAACGAGCCACCGTTTAAGCGTGCATGATGTCATTTAACGTTAGAATAGTTGCACGTACTAGTAATACAAGCTTGCGAAATGCTTATGTTGTTATTTATATTCCCGTGTAAAGACTGTACGTGCCTGTGCCGCATTAACCGAGATGATTACACGGGACCAAGTACACTTACATAATGAAATACGAGGAGCCTACTGTGTGGTATAGTCAATGGAACAAATATACGCAGATAGCACACGACGTCATTTTTTATTTGAACGTCTTACGAATTGATCTGAACGTCTTGAAGACGTACGAATCTGTACGTTTTAACAATGTATAAAAATACGTCTTTAAGACGTTTTTAAGACGTTTCTAAAGCTAACGCGTAGCGCTTCGCAGCGCCGCGATTCAAAGACATCTTGATTTGTAATACTGGATGTCATTCTAGGCTTTTACTCGACGTTCACAAGATAGGGTAATTTCGGGAGAGACGGACCAGGCAAGTATTTCCTACATTATAAGCCAAGTGTAGAACAAAGTGTGTAAAACAAAAGAATACTGACGCGATCCACATCTGGCGGATAATGTACGGAATACTTGCTTGGTCCGTCTCTCTTGCCGGTCGTACTATCTGGGTAGTGAGATCGTAAAATCGGTCAGGTATTTATCTCATTAAACGTGTTTCGAATGTTCTAACAAGGAAATTGCAAAAATATGAGATGTTAAGGTTTTTTTTCTTGTTATGCGATTGATAGAAGTTGCTGATTAGCATTTTCAATTTTTCCGACAGGACATGAAATACCATTAGTCGTCAGTTGGCATTGTTTTACCACATTGTTGAACCCCAAAACAGAATGCCCTATACATCCCTGGGCTGCATCAATTGGTACAGCCACTTGATGCTTTAATTTACGACCTCGCTATATTTGTTCCACCAACTGTACCTACAAAATAAACCGTGCAGCATCCAACCGTGCGTCTAGAATCTCAGATGAATACACACTTCACGCACTGTGAAACACTGGCTGGCCACAATACTTCTTCACCTAACGTTCCAACAGAAGTCCAGATAATTTTCTCCCACTTCTGTTGCTGCTTCCGGTGCAGCATCAGCAGTGATCGAAGCACTTGCGATTAGTAAACTGGATTTGCAATATTTGTGGTTGAATAAACGATGGAAGAGAGCCTTTGAACTGGTGTTAATTCTGTTATGGAAAAAATGTAAAGCAGCGAAGGCTGTGAGTGGAGCTTTTGGAAAAAACACTTCGGACATTCTAAGTGAATATTAAGTAAGTAATATTAGGTCGTAGAAGTATTGGATGAATTTTGCGAGAGATAGGAATAATAAGATAGTATTTGTCATTTTCAGGTGCTGAGGATGCAAAAATGGTGACCCATGTGAAAGTACATAATTGTAGGTAGTGATTGTAGAGAGTTAGAATTCAGTTTATGTTAAAGAGAATTATTAGAGCTGAGTGGGATTGACGCGGAAGGATGTCGTAGACGTTTAACGTTACTGTTACATGCAATTTGCTAATTCGGAGGTTGAATAATTGCCTGAGAGTATTATTAGTTAATTATCTCGTCAATCTTCGTAATGTAAACAATTGTCAATGCTTGGAAGTTGTCTTAAAATCGGAGATAAAATACTTAATCAATTTCTGCTCCAAGATTGTCCTCGGAAATTCGAAAAATTTTAAATTCTACTTCTCAACTATTTTTTATACTACTAAACACACTTTAACCTCAGATTGTAATTGAACGTATCTATCCAGAGGAACTATTCACCTCCATATTATCGCCTGCAAGCAAAGCCAAAATCTTTCCCGGAATAGAAGTTCCGTCAAACAGCACCAGATCACCCAGAACGTTCCTCAGATCACTGTCAACGACGTTCACGAAGCATAGAACAGTAACACCACCACCAATTCCGTCCCATGTGTCACTAGATCTGTGAATCTTCTGATTACCTGTCGCACCACTTTGTCCATACTTCGTTCGAGAGTACTCAGAAAACCGGAGCACCGTGCGGAATGCTGAATTATAGTGACGTTTTGCCGCATAGCTGGCTTATATAGAGAGCTCGCCTACGCCTACAAAGATTCATTTCCTGCCGGGTCACAGATCCTCCTCCTAGTAATGGGGGTTCCTCCGCGTGGAGATCTCCCCTGTATGTGTGCAAAACTGATGGTCTCTCCTTGTACTCCAGTTCACATAGGAACGCCTGGCGTGTGGAAAGCCCGCGCTTTATTTCCCATTGTTTAGCCATGTGCGATTTTGGGGCGGTGCGTGCGTATGAGAGGAACGCAGACGTCTTCCAGAGCGGAGAAAGCTGATTACTTCATCGCGTGGGACAGCCTACTGGCGGATCTAGCCTCAACACCAGAACTAATTAGCAAATCGGTGGCTTAATTAAGACACAGGACCATTGTCCATCCCCGTACACGTATGGTGTAACCCTCAATGAACTCTTCCCATCTCTCCTGTCCTCTTGAAGGGAACCAACTGCTTTCGCGTTACGAGGGAAAAGCAATGGAATAGTTTCATGTGCGATCTATGTTTGGTAAATTGCTGGTATTGTGGGTGTCGAAGCTGCATTAGGAAAAATGCTAGGGTCTAGGTTAAGGTGAACTTGATCTGGCTCATGAGATGAATGCGAACAAAGATGGATGGATGATCAAGGATCAGATTGTAGCGTATGATCCTAATGATCAGTCGATAATGAAAGTAGCATAGGATGTTTACTTAGTAATATATATTATACATTAATACTATCAAGTATTAACATACTTTAAATTCCATACTATTAATACCAAATAATAACAGAATACTTCCATCATTCAAAGGCATTGTTAACACGTCAAAATTCCAAATAACCTAATTAATTGAGTACAATTTTCGAGAGATAATTAGAATTACCTCACGACGCCAGGAGATTTATTGATTTCATCGCCGCCAGACGGCAACGCACCTTCGTGGGACGGTTAAGATTGAGCACGCAACGACGCGTGACAAAGAATGGCACAAGCCGGGCACAATGTGTAACGCAAATGAATGCTGGATCTGCTGAGATTGGCACGCGGGCCAATTTAGAAAGTGGAGTACTTACATTTCAACGGTGTTAAAATTGCCTTTCGACCTGGTGATTTCGTCTAGACGACAGCGTTGTTACATTACTACGAATTATTACGTTTTACAATTCATCTTCCCAGTTCCTTTCTCACTGACAAACAGTCAGGATATATTCGCGACATTTAATTACTGAGTATCACAATAGTACCGATTTATGAGGATTATGTTTTAACGAGGGTTATGTATTAAGTATATTTTAATGGGGTACGTTGACAACCTCCTTCTCGCGGTGTACCTACTCTGGGAGGATTACGTTGTCCACTCTAATTGGGTGGTTGAATAATGTGGTTTTGCAAATGGTTGCCAAAAAGAGATAATAAATTGTAGATTTTATTTTTTAGACATATAATTTCATTTATCATGGAATTGGTATTGAAGAATAATTTTATTTTTATTCAAATATGTCGGATAATATTCAAATTGGAATTTGATTCAGTTAATTAGGCATTTGTTGGTTAGGTGACTGCTTTTAGTGTCCTAGGACTTCTTTCAAGCCAGCAGACTCAACAAGACTGATAACGCTGGTCAATATGATTTTTGTCACAAAGAATATCTACGCTGATTCTTATCTATTTTTCGATGGTGAATTCGAATCTGCAATCAGATATTTTCCATTACCTATAATTTTTTTATAATAATGCTTTGTATTACTTAATAATATCTAAATTCACAATTACTTTATCAATAATAGTATAAATACCTAGGGTGAGTTTAATTTGTGCTTAGTGAATTCAGAACAATGAAATCCTAATAGTAAAAAATTTTATTATATGAAAATCTGAGTGCCATAAGTGATGAACATGGTGAGCGATTTCATCAGGACATTCCGTACACGAAAAAGCGATACCAGAGCAAACGAAGTGCTAATATACTGACTGATTAAGTAAGTAACTGCAGGACACTCAAACAGGATGTTCCTCAAGCAAAATATTCCAGGAAATCAACAAGTACCTACCACATTTTAGGTAATGTTCTACAGCTTCTAAAATACGAGTTACTAAATGTTAAAAATACTATTAAAATTACGTATTAAACCTTATGTGACAAAAAAAAAAGGTAAAGTTTTCTAGACCAGTGTAATCGTTGATCTTGTTTAGGACAATGGACATAATCGCGGGCATCGATCTAATCTCGCAGATCAATGAGTCAAATGAAACCTAATCAAGACTGGTTTATTGTTTATTTAGTGTGCGAATTCTCACTTTCGATTCCTTTCGTAACCTTTCCCTGATTGTTCGCCGTTACGTGAACGGAAACCATTGCGTTGGGATAAACACATGCTCCCTGTAGGGACCATTTGCTTAATTAGTAAACGCTGGAAATTTTTCGGTTACCGGGCTCCAGTTACAGGGAACTGGCTGTCTCATTGTTCAGCCAAAAAATCGTTGCGTTGCTCCTTATATAACCAACAAACGCAAAGGTGCGGAAAAAAAAAAAGAAATTAAGAGGATTAAAAGAAATTATTTAATTTTTTAGATTAATATCTAACCTTACTTCGATTAAATTTTAATTTTCTTTTACAAAAAAATATTCTTATCGTCTTATCAATCAATATTTATTTTTGATTTGAACAAATTACATTTTTTTCCATTTTCTGAATTCTTCGAACGTAAGTAGAGTCAGTGTATAAATAACAGTGGACGAACAATAGTATAGTACTAGACCTCCCTGTGCTCCCTCGATAATTATCGAAAGAAACCTGAAAGCAATCTTTGTCGATAATCTCTCTCTCTCTCTCTCTCTCTCTCTCTCTCTCTCTCTCGAGCGTAATAGACAAGGTTATAATACGTTCAAAGGATGCTCTAAATTCATTCCAATATTACGCAAGCGAGCATACTTCAGTACAATTTGACCGATCTCTCTTTCTCTCCGTACATACACGCCGTTTGATCTACCTGGCTCGTTGTGAAACGTACTGATGTGAATAATGAATTAACTGGACGAGGTAAGGCAACAGTCGATGGGCGCCAGACAAAAACTTCGTCGTTTCATCATCTTCAATCAGCCATCGAGATCGAAAATGAATTAAGAATACTATTTAGCATGAGAAAAAAAAAGCACCTTAAGCATTTTCGGATCTTTGTTATATAAAAATAAATTTCTGAAGAGGAATATATGAGTGAAGAAAGCATAGAGATACAGGAAATAGTCGTAAAATTAAGAATAGATGTATAACAGAATATACAATACGTTTTCTTTCGTGGAAATTAGTCTGAATTTTGAAATAAATTTGATTCCTATGAAACTTCATTGTTAAAATTAATGGTTGATTTTCTTACATGAAAATTTAGGATAAAATTAAATTAATTTTATCTGAAATTTCATTTCCATTCCTTTCGAAAATAATTTAGAAGATGAAATTTTGAAAAGAAGAGAACCTTCACTTGCTAAGACGATTATAAAGACGACTTATTGTTAATGAAGAAACAAATCTAATATGGTAATATAATATTGCTGCTATACTTTCTCTGTTCCTTGATTTTCTTTTTAGAATGATGAATACAAAATTATTAAGGATTTACGTGGCTCTCTTCAAAAGGCCAGATTTTCTGTGATATGAATTTTTCTTGGATAACTGCTTGGGGTTCATCTTCAATGTATTAGCAGTTGATGTATGAAGCCTTTCGTAATGTTCAAGAAATTTACCGTTTTGATTGTTCTCTTGCTTCTTCCTTTAAGGAATGTCAATAATAGCTATTATGGAGGCATGAAGCGCGAATATTGAAGGACGAACATAGTGCGAAAAGAAACAATGCTATATAATATCAATATCAAGTCGGCTGTCGCTTGAGATTAGTCCTTTTATTATTCAAGATGACTTTATTAAATTTTCTAATAATCTATATTAAATGTATACATATATGTATAACCTAACATATTACATTTACTCTATATTAATTAAAAATTACTTATTCAAATTTCTGAATTATTTTTCTACTAAGAATAATTTAATTCTCCGTTACATATAAATAAAAAAGTTGTGCAATTGAAACAGTCATAAAGTCATCCATCAGTTATCCATACTATTTCAATCATGAAAATATAGATCATTACTTCCCTCAACAATTAGAGAGTCTTCTGACTACAATATTATCTAATACTTGTTATACAAATTTTTATTTTACAATTTCTCTACTTGAGATGGAGTTTAGGATGAGTCTGTGAAATCACAAGGGTCTCATCTAATAAATGAACGTAACCATTGGAGTGTTACATATCCATTCATCATTTAATAATCATAAGTAATGGAAGCAAACAATGTTAAAGTCAAATTAAATTCTGTTACATAGAAAGCGAACGTTATGTGCTTCTTTCCAACTTTATCGCCGCCGTAATTACTCTACCATAATTGTCACAAAGGAGTCGTTACTATAGTAAGAAAAAGGAAGATTACTAGATGAGGAACAAAAATTCATGTTCTCTTACTTCACAACTCTTAATTATTACTCTTCACATATTTATAGGATATTCGTACTTTTCTTTTTTTATAGATTTGGTAACTTCTAAAAGTCGAAATCAGATTTTCATTGCTAACAAATTGTTTTTATTAAAAGACTGCTATCAAAATATTTATTTAATACTATACAAATTCCTATTTTTTCAACTGACGATCTCTTTTGAATTTACTAACTGGCCGTGTATCTTTGCTTGCTTCTTTATTTTCCATACTGTTGCTTGCGACCGCTGTTACATTTCTTTCTTGAATATCTTTCACCACCTAAAAATAACGAAAATATATCCATTACTTAACATCATCTTTTTATTATTTAGAAGTTATTATATTAAATTCTTACAATTTCATAAGCTGAAGGTTTAATAGTTTCTTCTTCCTCTTCCTCTTCCTCTTCCTCTTCCTCTTCCTCTTCCTCTTCCTCTTCCTCTTCCTCTTCTTCTTCTTCTTCTGTGCTATATTCAGGTGGAGGAGCTTGCTCAGGATTGAGATCATTTGGTGATCTTTTTAAAATAGATTTAGGCTTTGAAAATATTCTACAAATATCTGCTGGTGTCTCTATCGAATTTCCATCTGACACTGCAGCTGGATTATTTTCAGAGTGAGTAAATTCTATCCACAAGATATCATCTGAATTTTCTGTGGTTTTGCTGCACTCTTTTTGTTTCTTTGCCAAATTATCTTCTTTTTTTTTTAAACTATCTTCTGGCTCTGCAAATGAGACTGATTTTTTAATTTTACAAGTTTGGACAACATCTTCAGGTTGTTCCTTAGAATCGTCTTCTTTTACACTCAAGGACTCTTCTGATTTACAGAGTTCTTCTTCTTCTACACACTCAGAGGATTCTTCTGATTCATATAAGTATTCTTCTTCTTCAAATTCCTCTCCAAAATATTCGTACCCTTCTTCCTTTAATCTGTAAATCAGTATACCTTTGAAAATTATGCAAAGTTTAGAGAAATAATAGGTTCAAAATATTTAAAAATGTACCTATTAAGTTCATCTGCTAACTCCTCCTCAATTTCAAGTTGATCAAGTCTCTCAAATAAATCTTCTTCTGTCTCTATCTTTTTCCTTTCTTCCTGCCTAAGTTTAGCTAGTTTCTGATGGTACTTCCTTTCCATTTCTCTATGCTTTTCTACAAAAAGGATTAAAAATTATTCAAATATTTACAGAACCTGATATAAACGCATAAATATTAAACTAATTACTTTTCCATTCTGTTATTTCATTCTCGTTCCAATGCTCCACAATATCTCTACCAGCACAATCATTGAAGAAATCATTCTCTGATAACATAATCCTAGTTTCATATAAATCTCTTTCTGTGTTTAAATGTTTTAACATTTCTTCACTTCCTGGTACAAAATTTTAGAATTATTGCTAATTAAATCATAATTATTTTCTGTTGCACATTAAATGATAAAGTATGAACCATACTTTCTATTCTTCTCTCGCAAAGAGCTGCTGCACCAGCAGCGGTATACTTTGCAAAGTATCCACCACCCAAACAAGCAAGCACTTCATTGGTATGAATTAATTTCCCTTTTATTAGGGCTCGTTTTCCAATTGGAACCATACAATTTACATATAAATCTTTTTCAAATGTCTGTAGTGCTTTTGCAACTTTTTCATGACCTTTTTTGTAGGCCATCCATATTTTACACTGTTCCTCATTTCGTTGTATTCCCTCAAAAAAGATAATACATACTTTTACATTTATTTATTTAAAATTTACAATATTTTATTAACATTAAATATTGAAAACAGTGAATTGAATTAATGTTTTTTGAGTTCAGAGTGAAAATAACTAAAACAAATATAAAATTTTCAAATACTACTTTATAGATAAAAATCGTTTCCAATTTATTACAAGCTGTCTCATTGTTTATTTTGATTCAATGATCTACCTTTATAAGAACTTCGTCTAGAAGTGCACGTTGAACTTTTCGCGTATTATCTTCGAAACTCATTGTCAAAGTGATAGGGTTAAATTAATTAACAATACTTTTCAAAAACAAGAAAGTGTAAATAAAGACATTTAATGATCACAGATTGTGTAAGACTCTTCATCAAATTACATAAATTATGTAATATAATCGTATCTTAATTTCAGTTTAAACTGCCATAACTAATATTGTACAATTTTTTTTAAATTCTGTAATTATCTAAATATAACCTAAAAACTGGTATTCAAATATAAAAGTTCTTTGTAAGATTGAACAAAGATGTCACTGTGCAAAAGTGATAGAACAACAGCTATAAATATTTAAGCATTTATAATTTTCTTAATAATATACTTTCATGAGCTAAATATAGCGTATCATAATGTTACGCTATCGCGTGAACGTACTTTTAATCGTTCGTTGTGCATGCTCGTGAACGTGGCTTTAGGGCGGTCTTAATCTAGTGTTATGTGGCTCATGTGGCGCCCCGTAGTGTGAATGCTTGAAGTGCGCCGAATCCAAATTGTGCAGCGGTGTAGCCGAAGCAATGAACAAAAGAACTCGATAATATATGTATATAATATACTGTAAAATCTCATTGATTACTATTTGCAACTGCTCGTTTAGATAAATGTTTATCGTCGTCGCTAAGCACAGAAGCATTGCTGAGGTGTAAAGCACTCGCTTTAAAGGAAATATGTATTAATAAACAAAAGAGGAGTACCAATCAAATTTATCCTCAAATAATCTTATATAGAATCTTTAATTTAATTGGAGACTTGTTTAACAAAAACATGTTAACATTGAATATGAATATTGACGTCGCATGAAGATTCATTAGAAGATTTCAGACGTATTATTTCGTAATAAACGTTATAGTTAAAACATTTCGTTTATCCTGGGTCTTACCAAGTTATTTATTGTTTTATAAAAGATTCAACGTTAAATTTTTTTATTCATTAAATTTCCTAAACTATCGCGAGCAGAGCGCTTTGGCGCTCCATGAGCGACAATTTCCTCAAATTCCCCCAAAACTCACGTAACAATAGCTATATTATTGTAAAAGAAAGGAAACAATTTTCCAGTTTATAAAGATATATTTATCTTTAATAAAATGTAATAAATATTTTAATCCATAGATGGCGGTAATTTCGTGACGCTTTTATTCAATAAAGATCCACGTCTATATGTTTCCTTGATTCGTGATTTGCTTCCTTGTTTCTTTTTCCATTGAAGAGGAAAACCCGCAAGATGGTTAGTGAATCGGTAGAAATCTGTTTCTATATAAAACATCCCCGTTAATCGTTAATTAAAATCTTAGTTATAATTCTTTTAATCGCGATACGAATTAAAATATCCCAAACTTTTTTTCCATTGAATGTCCTTTGAAAAAGCAACTTTATACATAACCTCTCCTTATGTTTCAATCTTTCACTTTTAATTACAAATTTTTCGCTTCAACTGTCGTTTTTATTGATCTTAGCTATATTTAGGACATATTCAAAAGTTGATTCTGTCTTGTTTAAAAATCAATGTTATAAAGCAATTATGATTTGTTTTCATTGGTGATAACATTAAAAGAAACATGTGTCGAATAGTTAAAACTCTTTAAACGCAATTGTTGAAGTGTGTAGTAGTGGAATATAAGCAGTAGTGACGTGTTTGTTGTTTCAGGGTAAGGTTAAGTGTACTGAATTAAGGACGAAAGACAAAAATGTGCTGCTCAGGCAGTTGGAAGAGCTCAAAACAGAGCTGACAAATCTTCGAGTAGCAAAAGTCACGGGAGGTGCCGCGTCGAAGCTTGCAAAGATGTATGTATAAATTGTACAAACTTCTTTTTAATTTATCAATATTTTATTATTACAAAAATTTAT